ATAAGTGATATGGGTAAAGATTTCCATCTAGTTAGATCATCGTCAATTTTCTTTAAAAGCGGGATGTGGTTTAATTTTATTAAGTCTTCCAATCAATGAGAAACATTAATCCCCAAATACCTGATTGCAGTCGTGTATTAAGAGAACTGTTAAGAACACAGTTTATTGGAAGAACTGTGGATTTTAACCAGTTTATGGAGTAGTCAGAAATTCTTGAAAATGAATTTATTAAATCAATAACCTGAGATAGAGAGCTTTCTGAATGTTGAAGAAAAAGTAGGACATRATCAGCATAAAGACTAATTTTATGTTCTGTGTTCTTACATTGTATCAATATTAAAAAAAACATGCTGCAGGTTCTGTACATTTTCTATTGAACTAATCAATAATCTAAAGCTAAATGAAACCTTTGCAAACAGATGTGAATATCAACATGGTTGTTTTTGTGTATTTGGAAAAGCATGTCCTCTGTGGGGTGCTGCAGCACCCTTTGCACCCCCACTATCCACAGCTTTGACCTGAAATGACTTGTGATAGGGGCTAAATTTTACCTGAACTGAAAATACATTACTGGACTCTCAGTAGAGCAGTTTTGTTCTTTAAAAACCAGAAGCTCTGAACTGAATGATGCACAAGTGTCAAACTCACGGCCCGTGGGCCAAATCTTGCCCTTGTTCATTTTCTCTGGCCCCAAATGTAAAACTTTAAATGTGAAATAGTTTCATGGTTTCTCTTTGTCTTGGTGTATTTAATGCATTCTTGTGACAGCTGGCCAACCTCCAAGCCAGGAAATTAAAGTTTGAAATTTTCAGAAATCTTTCATTTTGTTGTGGAAAGAACAACATAGAATTTAATTATGTTTTTCTGTCTCCTTTTATTATTTTAAAGTCAAATTATTGGACTTTTAGTGAGTTGTTTTTGTTGTTTGTTTTGTTTTTTATTTGCTGTATTGTAAGACATAATAAATGAATGCTAAATATGAGTCTTTCTCATTTTAATATTTTTCCTTATCTGTTATTATGAATGCTCCAAATGCTACATAAACCCTAATTTGGAAAAATGTTATTTGTATTTCTATAAAAAAAATTACTTTATATACAATTTTTCAATAAATGTTGACAGATATTAGCCCTTGGCTTGGACCAAATTTTGAATTTTGGCCCCCTTGAGTTCAATACCACTGGTCTAACATATGGAAACTTACTGCTTAAACAAGCAGATTTAAGAAAATGGTAAATGGCCTGCACAATGGGACTTTAAAGCATAAAATTAAGCCTATAGTATTTTAAATTTGAGTTTTAGGTTGTGTAACATTGTGTTCTGAACTATAATTTCATTGTGCTCTGTACAATGACAATAAGGATTGATCTTATCTTATCTTATTGATGACATATACAAACTCTGGTTTCTAAAGTTGGGGTCGGGTCCACATTATGGTTCCTGAAATATCGAGGGGTTTTGAGAAGAGTTTAAGAACTAATCACATTTAAAAGTGACCACAAACACCTTTTTTATTATCTATTTATTTTTTGTCTTACTTGTTAACTTAATTACATAAACTTTTTTTAATGGATGAAATTCTCATAATGAATACTGTTACTAAACATTTGTTTAATTGACCTGGATGTCTGTCCCCGCAAAATAGCTGGGGGCACAGGTTTCTGCTATGGTTATTTTGTGAGTGAAAAGCCGAAATGTTTGGGAACCATTGGAAAAGATTGTAGGTGCTGCCATCTAGCAGAAGAAATATCAAACTGCATAAAAATATAGGACATTTGGATGCTCAGGGGCAGCATTCATTTTTTAATTAAGAGGAAAATTATCCAATTCTACTGTGGATGGTAAAAATATTCAGACTGGCTAAGGTTAAACATAATAAGACATGATTTTTTTTCCATTCATCCAATTTTCCTTCTACTCTGACCAGATTCCCAGTCCCTCAGCATGATGCTGTCACCACCGTGCTTCACTGCAGTGATGGTGTTGACAGCATGACGACGTGTTTTCGTCTGACATGGTGACGTCCTTATTGACCCACAGGTTCAGTTTTAGACTCGTCTGGTCTGACCACAGCCCACAGAAATGTTAGCTCGTGACTTTTACAGACAAAGCGAGTGAATAGATATGCACACAGCACTTCGCAGTTTTATGTTCTTCTAAAAACTGTTTGAAACAAGCTCCRCTCTGTTTACCTTCGTAAATCTGGAGCGTTTTGGACAGCTCCATTAGTTCTAATCAAATAAAATGAAACTCCAGATTGTAAAATAAAACATCAAGTAGGGGTAAATACTTTTTGCAGCTCATTGTACTGCTGCTGCTTTAAAAACAAAGAAAAAAACTATTTATTATTTGATTTTTAAAACTGTTTTCAACTACCTAATGAAAATGTTTTCTGTCTGTTGCTAATTCACATGTGGTTTCAACAGTTCAGTGAGCTTCCTGTCTGTTTCCTTCATCAAGGTGAAATAATCTCAAACTCATGACCAATTGTGACAAACTCTAAACCTAAACTTTTATATCACAGCATCAAGATTACTTGGGCTTTTTTATCTCTTGGAACAAATGTAGTAAAATATAACAGCAGTGATTGTATATTTAATTTCATGTCTGTAGATCAGAACTAAACCATGCTGTCGCACAGACCTGCTTTACTCTGATGATGAAATATTGTGAGATTTCTCAAAGATAAAAACTTTCTGTAGGAATTAACAAGGAATTTATGGGAATAAAACTTGCATTCAAAATTATACAGGTTAATAATCTTGACTAAAACTACCAGCTTTAAAGCAGGTAAAGTATATTTGTTTTTCTTCAAAGGACCCTAGAAACTGAGGTCATGTTTTCGGAGCACAGACTGCTGAAGCTTTGAGCTTGTCCACCAACAAAGTGAAGCTTTAATATTATTGGCTGAAAATATTTGGTGGGATTAAAGAACTCCAGACATGATTGTTGTTTCTACTATGCACCACTAGGGGGCAAAACTGAGCAAATTTTTCACCTGCTTGCAGCCTGACTAAAATCTTCATAACACTACAACGTTTTAGACAACTTATGAAACTTTTAGGACTAATTTACTCATAATATATTTGATCTAATAGATTGTTTTTCATTCCATCACATAAATCATATTTAGTGTTGGACAAAATTTTCCCAAGCTGGTATAAGTTGTCTAAACATGACCAGGCCTTTAATAGTGTAAAAAAAAACAAAAAACAACCAGCATCTGTCAAAAGTTTGTAGTCATCTGAGAATCTCCAAACTGTTGACTGAACCTGTGTTAAAACAGGAGAGAACTGAAGGGTTTCCTGGAGCTTTGAGCAAAAATCAAACATTCTGAAASGTGAAGAACATAAAAGCTGGGATTAACTGAACGAGGTGGAGTATAAACAGCCCTTAAAACAATCCTGGAGCTCATCATCACAGTGAAATAATTTGAAACGGTTACAACATTTTTAATGTGGTAAAGGTTTCTGTAAAGACTCCTGCTATGCAAGTGAATCACATCATTGAACACCAACCCTCCTGCTGCTGAGGCAGAAAATTCTTGAATCTGTAAAATACCTCATTTACTGACAAAACTGTGTAAAATATAGAGTGAAAAGTTACAGGGAACAAAAAGTTTCTTGTTTTATTTGAATTCTGGGGAAAAGAAACGTGAGCAGAATATTTAACTGTTGACAAAATGAAAGACTGAGGTTATTTTAAACTGAAAAAAACTAAAGTCAACTCAAATTATTAGACCAGTCTCTTTGTTCTTCTAAATATTGAACTTCTTATAAAGCACATGATGAAAAGCGCAGCACCAATGTCCTCGCTGTAAAAAAAAAAGGCTAGAAAACATTATTATAAACCTTATAAAACTGTAGAAGTCAAGAGGAATGGAGGTTCTAGCAGCTTMAAAATGAAAACCCTGGTACATGATAAAAGTGAAGAGGCGGTGAAGCACAAAGTCTCCTCTTGAAGCTCCGATTATTTGAGCAGAAAGCACAGAGGCATCCTAAATGTTGCACTCCTCTTCATTTTGCTTCACGTTTTCTGTCTGAATGTAAAAGTTCCTCTGATCTGAAGTGAAAACCAGAAGCTCAGGAGCATCCCTGATCTGACGTCCCTCATGTTGGTCCTTTCCTCGCTCTCCTCCATCCCTCCAGGACTCAAGTGCACGTTTTCAGATGAGGTATTAGCGCTTTGCTTTGGCCTCTTCAACTTCTTTTTCTGTCGGGGAAACATTAAGGTCAAAGAAAGTTTTGCTAATATAAACTGTAAAACTTTAACAACATGTTTACAACATGCCATGTAAACCACAAGCAGGAAACAAGTTAAACATATTTTTTGCTAAAACCAAATGTCTTTTTTAAAAACCAAAGTCCTGTTTACACAGGATCGATCTCTGGAAACATTACAGATTTCTCCATATTGATTGTTAAAATGTTTACACAGAATATCTGATCTTTGGATCTGTTGTGATCTCCATGCTGGAACACTAGATGGCGCTCTGAGCTTTGTATTTCAGCAAGTTYTATCAAAAGCGATGACAACATAAATGTTTGCTTGGACTGATGAAGTTGACTTGCTGCTACGCATAAAAACAGCTCAACTCTTAACTGGATTAAAAAAATACTGGTGTCAAGAGAAAATAGCTGTTTTCAGTTTTTCTTCAAAATGGTGTCTTTTAACAGGGCTAACAAGTTTTTGATTTATATGTATGTGTATGTATATATTATTATTATTATTATTATTATTACCAGGAGGACTGCGACCAGTTATACATCGGGGAAACAAAGCAACCACTGTACAAAAGAATGTCCCAACACAGACGAGCTACATCTAATGGCCAGAACTCTGCAGTTTTCACTCATRTACAGGCCAGCGGTCACTCTTTCAGAGATGAGGATGTTCTCATTCTTGATAGAGAGGAACGTTGGTTTGAGAGAGGAGTAAAAGAAGCCATTTTTGTGAAGAAAGACCATCCATCATTAAACAGAGGTGGAGGCCTCCGTTTTCAGTTGTCCCCCTCCTACAGCGCTGCCATTGGCAGRATCACTCCACCCCCTGTTAACAATAGGTGTTAATTAGGTGTCAACGATAGCCATGTGATGTGAGTATCAGTCACCTGGAGGCAGGACTCAAAAGCCTGAATTCTGCCTGAAACTCTCAGACTGAAGAAGTCTCTTGGAGGAGAGACGAAACGTTTCATTAGAGAAGAACCCGTCCAGAGGACCTATACAATTTTTTTTCCTATTATTATTATTATTATTATTTTAGGGGTGCAACGATACAGAAAATTCACGATTCTGTTCGGTTCAATATTTTAGTCTCACGGTTTGATATTTTTTCGATACAAAAAGAGAAATGTCCATGCCCCTTTTAACTTGTAATTTATTTAAATTAATTATGAACGTTTGTTTAACCTCAAAAGTACAGTTTTTTAATTAAATGTTGCTGAAACAGCAAGTTTCTCAGTGGATCTGCGCTCAACAATGCAGCCTAGGTGGAGTAGTCGAACACAGATCCACTGATCCTTCAACACAGAGCATCTTCTGAAGACAAGTTCATAAAATAATCTGTATTGTTCCATACAAGTGTGTATTGAACCTAAAGCACTGTATTAAATGGTTTGATATGGGTACTTGTATTGTTGCACCCCTAATAAGAATTTTACAATTTGGTGTGAAGCTGAGAGTGACTCACAACACAGGCTTTAAAGACCTACACTGCACAATACAAAAATAAGTGCTAAATTTATAAGTCACTGCATTAAAAGATTAATCACTACTTAACTTTTTGATTTCCACTTTRGTGAACAGTTTCCCTGACATGTGTGAGATTTTTGTTGCCATTTTTCTTTTACCTTTCCTGAGTTCCTCTCTCTTCTTGGCAGCTTCTTCCCTCTGTTTTTTGATGATAGCCAGTCGGGCCAAGTCCGCCCTGGCCTGCTCAGTCTTGCCCTCCAGATGAAGCTTCATGTAGCGTTCCTTTGACTTCTGCTTCTCTATCTCCTCTCTGAAAGACAGAAAGAGGACGACGGCTCAGCATAATGCTTAAACATGTAACAACTGTTTAACAACTCTTACACAGCTGGTTCCAGGAAGGACACTTACCTCTCTCTGCGAGACAACTCTCTGGGAGCAGCAACATCCACTTCAGTCACTTTCTTGCTCTTCTGAGAAACACGGTTGGGATTTTCAATCTCTATGAGCCCCTCCACCCCACTCCTTTTCTTTGTCTGTAGGTAGGAACAAACCTCTGTAATGTTTATCACCAGATCAAACCTATCTATTAATTACTAGTTTTTTCCAAGCTTCGTGTTGTCTACACTGTTTTCCATGAACCTAATGCTGTTTTTGTTTTCACATCAGAAATAACAAATAATGAGTTTCACCAAAACGGTTTGCAGTGAACGTCTGACAGGTCGACTAAATAAATTTACAACTTGTTTAAACACAGGTTCTAAGGATCAGCGTTTCTTAAACGTGGAGGAGTTAATCCCACCATTCTGACCTGATTAGTCAGAGAGCTCATCCTTTCTGAATTTAAAATCTTTAGCTCAGATTGAAAACCAACAGGGATCTGATATTTGTGGTTTTACCACAATATATTATTTTAGCCAGGAGGAATATCTAATTTGCAATTTTGTTATCAAACCTAAAGTGTGTCTAGATGTTATTGCATTATTTAAAATCTCTGTGCTGAACTCTGTATTCTCTAATAATGTTAGCATTACGCTAAAGCTATGGTCTCATCATTTCTTTAGAGTAAGTTTACATTAATTTCAGAAAGAAACCCCTAGTTTTTCTTACACTGGCAGTAAATTATACATTCTGTCCTAACCATGCAAGTTTTTTTATTGATGCAGATGAAAAAAAAATCACAGATTCAAAACATTTATAATAATTTTCCATCTCCATTATGTGCTGCCACCATATCGATACACAACTGTTAGCATACACATTAAAAAATCCACACTTCATAAAAACGATCTTGTCACAGAGACAAAACAAATACTGTACCTAAAAACACTACAATAAAAACTGCAACACTATGATGTAGAAACTTTGTAGAAAAAAAAATCTTCACTGAGATTTTATCAAACCAAAGTAGGGCTGCAACTAGGGTTGGGCATAATCGTATCGTGTGCAATTAATCGTCAGAAGAACATTAATCGATTAGTTTTTGGCACTTGACGATTAATACGATTAATGCCACCAGCAGAGTCCGCTCGCTGCTCCTCTCTGCTTCAGATATGATGAACATTAAAAAAAGTTCTGTAATTTATTTATCTATCAACAGTTAAAAAATCTGTTGTATAGCCTGAAATATGTAATTTTGAAACAATTTTGAAAGGATTTTTATGAAGAGGAAATCTTTCCCACTAAAAGTTTTTTTACATTTATTCATTTAATTTAAAAACAAATTCATATTAAAAAAA